GGGCTAGACGAGCTCTAGGCGCTGCTTCGGTTCCTCTGTCTCGTTCGCCCTTCCTTGACCGCCTAGCATCCCCTGCCTCACGCTGCTTTCGCTCTTCCCCGGTTTCCCGGTCGAGCACTGGTTTCCGCTCCCTGGCATCGCTTCCCTCTCGCTTTTGTCCTTCACTCCTCCTCCCTACGCGCCGCATTGGGGCTAGCCGAGCTCTAGGCGCTGCTTCGGTTCCTCTGTCTCGTTCGCCCTTCCTTGACCGCTTAGCATCCGCTGTCTCACGCTGCTTTCGCTCTTCCCCGGTTTCCCGGTCGAGCACTGGTTTCCGCTCCCTGGCATCGCTTCTCTATCGCCTTTGTCCTTCACTCCTCCTCTCTACGCGCCGCATTGGGGCTAGACGAGCTCTAGGCGCTGCTTCGGTTCCTCTGTCTCGTTCGCCCTTCCTTGACCGCCTAGCATCCCCTGCCTCACGCTGCTTTCGCTCTTCCCCGGTTTCCCGGTCGAGCACTGGTTTCCGCTCCCTGGCATCGCTTCTCTCTCGCCTTTGTCCTTCACTCCTCCTCTCTACGCGCCGCATTGGGGCTAGACGAGCTCTAGGCGCTGCTTCGGTTCCTCTGTCTCGTTCGCCCTTCCTTGACCGCTTAGCATCCGCTGTCTCACGCTGCTTTCGCTCTTCCCCGGTTTCCCGGTCGAGCACTGGTTTCCGCTCCCTGGCATCGCTTCTCTCTCGCCTTTGTCCTTCACTCCTCCTCTCTACGCGCCGCATTGGGGCTAGACGAGCTCTAGGCGCTGCTTCGGTTCCTCTGTCTCGTTCGCCCTTCCTTTACCGCTTAGGATCCGCTGTCTCACGCTGCTTTCGCTCTTCCCCGGTTTCCCGGTCGAGCACTGGTTTCCGCTCCCTGACGTCGCTTCTCTCTCGCCTTTGTCCTTCACTCCTCCTCTCTACGCGCCGCATTGGGGCTAGACGAGCTCTAGGCGCTGCTTCGGTTCCTCTGTCTCGTTCGCCCTTCCTTGACCGCTTAGCATCCGCTGTCTCACGCTGCTTTCGCTCTTCCCCGGTTTCCCGGTCGAGCACTGGTTTCCGCTCCCTGGCATCGCTTCTCTCTCGCCTTTGTCCTTCACTCCTCCTCTCTACGCGCCGCATTGGGGCTAGACGAGCTCTAGGCGCTGCTTCGGTTCCTCTGTCTCGTTCGCCCTTCCTTGACCGCTTAGCATCCGCTGTCTCACGCTGCTTTCGCTCTTCCCCGGTTTCCCGGTCGAGCACTGGTTTCCGCTCCCTGGCATCGCATCTCTCTCGCCTTTGTCATTCACTCCTCCTCTCTACGCGCCGCATTGGGGCTAGACGAGCTCTAGGCGCTGCTTCGGTTCCTCTGTCTCGTTCGCCCTTCCTTGACCGCTTAGCATCCGCTGTCTCACGCTGCTTTCGCTCTTCCCCGGTTTCCCGGTCGAGCACTGGTTTCCGCTCCCTGACGTCGCTTCCCTCTCGCCTTTGTCCTTCACTCCTCCTCTCTACGCGCCGCATTAGGGCTAGACGAGCTCTAGGCGCTGCTTCGGTTCCTCTGTCTCGTTCGCCCTTCCTTGACCGCTTAGCATCCGCTGTCTCACGCTGCTTTCGCTCTTCCCCGGTTTCCCGGTCGAGCACTGGTTTCCGCTCCCTGACGTCGCTTCTCTCTCGCCTTTGTCCTTCACTCCTCCTCTCTACGCGCCGCATTGGGGCTAGACGAGCTCTAGGCGCTGCTTCGGTTCCTCTGTCTCGTTCGCCCTTGCTTGACCGCTTAGCATCCGCTGTCTCACGCTGCTTTCGCTCTTCCCCGGTTTCCCGGTCGAGCACTGGTTTCCGCTCCCTGACGTCGCTTCCCTCTCGCCTTTGTCCTTCACTCCTCCTCTCTACGCGCCGCATTAGGGCTAGACGAGCTCTAGGCGCTGCTTCGGTTCCTCTGTCTCGTTCGCCCTTCCTTGACCGCCTAGCATCCCCTGCCTCACGCTGCTTTCGCTCTTCCCCGGTTTCCCGGTCGAGCACTGGTTTCCGCTCCCTGGCATCGCTTCCCTCTCGCCTTTGTCCTTCACTCTTCCTCCCTACGCGCCGCATTGGGGCTAGCCGAGCTCTAGGCGCTGCTTCGGTTCCTCTGTCTCGTTCGCCCTTCCTTGACCGCCTAGCATCCCCTGCCTCACGCTGCTTTAGCTCTTCCCCGGTTTCCCTGTCGAGCACTGGTTTCCGCTCCCTGGCATCGCTTCTCTCTCGCCTTTGTCCTTCACTCCTCCTCTCTACGCGCCGCATTGGGGCTAGCCGAGCTCTAGGCGCTGCTTGGGTTCCTCTGTCTCGTTCGCCCTTCCTTGACCGCCTAGCATCCCCTGCCTCACGCTGCTTTCGCTCTTCCCCGGTTTCCCGGTCGAGCACTCGTTTCCGCTCCCTGACGTCGCTTCCCTCTCGCCTTTGTCCTTCACTCCTCCTCTCTACGCGCCGCATTGGGGCTAGACGAGCTCTAGGCGCTGCTTCGGTTCCTCTGTCTCGTTCGCCTTTCCTTGACCGCCTAGCATCCCCTGCCTCACGCTGCTTTCGCTGTTCCCCGGTTTCCCCGTCGAGCACTGGTTTCCGCTCCCTGACGTCGCTTCCCTCTCGCCTTTGTCCTTCACTCCTCCTCTCTACGCGCCGCATTGGGGCTAGCCGAGCTCTAGGCGCTGCTTCGGTTCCTCTGTCTCGTTCGCCCTTCCTTGACCGCCTAGCATCCCCTGCCTCACGCTGCTTTCGCTGTTCCCCGGTTTCCCGGTCGAGCACTGGTTTCCGCTCCCTGGCATCGCTTCCCTCTCGCCTTTGTCCTTCACTCCTCCTCCCTACGCGCCGCATTGGGGCTAGCCGAGCTCTAGGCGCTGCTTCGGTTCCTCTGTCTCGTTCGCCCTTCCTTGACCGCCTAGCATCCCCTGCCTCACGCTGCTTTCGCTCTTCCCCGGTTTCTCGGTCGAGCACTGGTTTCCGCTCCCTGACGTCGCTTCCCTCTCGCCTTTGTCCTTCACTCCTCCTCTCTACGCGCCGCATTGGGGCTAGACGAGCTCTAGGCGCTGCTTCGGTTCCTCTGTCTCGTTCGCCCTTCCTTGACCGCCTAGCATCCCCTGCCTCACGCTGCTTTCGCTGTTCCCCGGTTTCCCGGTCGAGCACTGGTTTCCGCTTCCTGACGTCGCTTCCCTCTCGCCTTTGTCCTTCACTCCTCCTCTCTACGCGCCGCATTGGGGCTAGCCGAGCTCTAGGCGCTGCTTCGGTTCCTCTGTCTCGTTCGCCCTTCCTTGACCGCTTAGCATCCGCTGTCTCACGCTGCTTTCGCTCTTCCCCGGTTTCCCGGTCGAGCACTGGTTTCCGCTCCCTGACATCGCTTCCCTCTCGCCTTTGTCCTTCACTCCTCCTCTCTACGCGCCGCATTGGGGCTAGCCGAGCTCTAGGCGCTGCTTGGGTTCCTCTGTCTCGTTCGCCCTTCCTTGACCGCTTAGCATCCGCTGCCTCACGCTGCTTTCGCTCTTCCCCGGTTTCCCGGTCGAGCACTGGTTTCCGCTTCCTGACGTTGCTTCCCTCTCGCCTTTGTCCTTCACTCCTCCTCTCTACGCGGCGCATTGGGGCTAGCCGAGCTCTAGGCGCTGCTTCGGTTCCTCTGTCTCGTTCGCCCTTCCTTGACCGCTTAGCATCCGCTGCCTCACGCTGCTTTCGCTCTTCCCCGGTTTCCCGGTCGAGCACTGGTTTCCGCTCCCTGACATCGCTTCCCTCTCGCCTTTGTCCTTCACTCCTCCTCTCTACGCGCCGCATTGGGGCTAGCCGAGCTCTAGGCGCTGTTTCGGTTCCTCTGTCTCGTTCGCCCTTCCTTGACCGCTTAGCATCCCCTGCCTCACGCTGCTTTCGCTCTTCCCCGGTTTCCCGGTCGAGCACTGGTTTCCGCTTCCTGACGTCGCTTCCCTCTCGCCTTTGTCCTTCACTCCTCCTCTCTACGCGCCGCATTGGGGCTAGCCGAGCTCTAGGCGCTGCTTCGGTTCCTCTGTCTCGTTCGCCCTTCCTTGACCGCCTAGCATCCCCTGCCTCACGCTGCTTTCGCTCTTCCCCGGTTTCCCGGTCGAGCACTGGTTTCCGCTTCCTGACGTCGCTTCCCTCTCGCCTTTGTCCTTCACTCCTCCTCTCTACGCGCCGCATTGGGGCTAGCCGAGCTCTAGGCGCTGGTTCGGTTCCTCTGTCTCGTTCGCCCTTCCTTGACCGCTTAGCATCCGCTGTCTCACGCTGCTTTCGCTCTTCCCCGGTTTCCCGGTCGAGCACTGGTTTCCGCTCCCTGACATCGCTTCCCTCTCGCCTTTGTCCTTCACTCCTCCTCTCTACGCGCCGCATTGGGGCTAGCCGAGCTCTAGGCGCTGCTTCGGTTCCTCTGTCTCGTTCGCCCTTCCTTGACCGCTTAGCATCCCCTGCCTCACGCTGCTTTCGCTCTTCCCCGGTTTCCCGGTCGAGCACTGGTTTCCGCTCCCTGACGTCGCTTCCCTCTCGCCTTTGTCCTTCACTCCTCCTCTCTACGCGACGCGCTTCCCTTTCCACTCTTTTGCCCACAGAGGGACGCCACCAGCTTATGCCTGACATGTAGGTACTAATGCTAACACTTTAATAAAGATTAGTCAGGACGTTCTTTATTACGATACCGGGAAACAAAGGAAGGCAATAACTGCGGCGCTTAACCCTTTAACGCCGAATTTATTTTTCAGTCGACTAAAAAAATATCTTTTTGCTGGAATGTGCTGCTTAAGGTGCTCTTAAAAAGATACAAACATTGTGCATTGTGACGGGTACCCTATTTGGCTAAAAGAGGTATGTCGCGAATTCGCGACAACAGGCCACGAAGTCAATAATTTCACCACGCCATCTAAATAAAATTTATTTTTTTCACCAATAATATTAGCGTAGTAAAAAAAAAGCCTCGAAAGGAGTGGAACAAAATTTTGCTTATTGCGTTCCCAAAACAAACAAGCAGCGCAGAAAGCACCTGGCTTCTACTTTATGGCTGATGGAAATCAAAGAAGCAGTTGGTGTTCTTGTTTAGGCAAAGATGTGCGTTGCATTTGCTGCACATTCCGTTGGTATGTCCCTTGCAACCAGGTTTCTTGCACCGCTGTCTCGTGTCTTTGACAACCGGCCAATGTCCTGTGCTGTCCGTGCGGACGTCCTCGTTGGGGATGTGGCTCGTGGGTCCTCGTCGCTTCTTCATTTCGAGTTGAGCTTGAGGAGAGCCGGACGGTCGTCCCCGCTTCTTTGAGGAGAGGTCCTTTCCTTGTTTGCAGAGAGCTTCCGCAATTCCAAGCCGGAATTTCAGCAGGTCTCTCTGCTTATTCTTTGGAACACCCAGTGACTGACAGTCTCGTCGGTAGAGGAGCCAGCTCACAACAATCACCTTGTCCAAAAAGTGAAAAAAAAAGCTTGAGGTAAACTTTTTTTGACCTAAGCTGGATCCGATAGTATGCTATCAGTGCATCAAGGAGATCAACACCTCCCATGTACTTGTTGTACGTAACAACTGCGCTAGGACACTCAACCTGGACAGACTTCTTTTCACGCCTATCCCACCTCATGACAGTGGTGACGGGTTGTGCACCGGCAAAGGTACTTGCGGTGGTCACCGATCGGTTGTCGTACCACTTGACAACGATCACCTTCTGGTTATCCACCACTGCCTCATACTCTTCTGCACTTCCTCGTCCTCTCTTGCGGAGTTCTGTGTCCGTGGCCATTTTGCAACCCTGCAGTCGATTTGCACGCACAGTACCAAGGGCATATATGCCTCTTTGTGCCAAAGTCACGAGAAGCTTCAGAGACGTGAACCAATTGTCAAAGTACAGAAGGTGGCCCAGTTGCGGCTGCACGCACTGAGCCAGTTTTATGACGATGCTACCACTTGCCCCGATGTCAGAAAAACCCGGCACTTGATCGATGTGGCCAGTGTACAGGTCAAAAGAGTGTACAACACCTCTGGAGTCACAAAGCGTGAATATTTTGTAACCCCACTTGTGAGGCTTCTTGGGGAGGTATTGCTTGATGCTGGAGTGCAATTTGAAGGGAACCATCTGTTCGTCCACACAGAGGCATTATTCCTGAGGAATCTCCTCGAATTTTGGGAGCAGCATCTCGAGAAGCGGGCGAATCTTGAACAGTCTATCCTTCGGGGAGCTGTCGGCTGGTGGCATGCTGAGGTTGTCGTTGAAGTGCAGCGAGGATTTGATCTCCTCCCACCTGTCGCGCGTCACAATATCGGCCACAACTGGTAGTCTGCATTCAGCTGACCAGTACAAACGAGATCGTGGTAGCTGGAAGATCGACATGTAGACAGTGCAGCCTAGAAACTGCTCAAGTTCCACCCGGGACAAGGCTAGAGGCTTATTCGGGTTTTGTTGTACTGCATAAAGATTGCTCTGCTGCACAATTAGATTGAAGACGTTGTCGTCGAAGAAACCCTGGAAGTACTCGATTGGGGACCTGACGGCCTCGCTCTCATGCGCAGCACATTTCCACTGAGGAACGTCATTAGTCAGAGATGAAGATGTTTTCGACCAGTGCACTGGCCGATTCACTCCTTTCGAGGAAGCTGGCACCGATTCTTCTTCTTCTTCACTTTCTTCGCTTGTGTCATTATCGGGCGGTGCGTTGAACAGTTGGGGAGGGTTGTAGTCCGCATCCTCATTGTCAGTGTCACTTAGGCAGCTGTCGTCGCTTCCGTCTTCGGGTGGGAAACGCGTCCTACACGGAATTTTTTTCTTCCCATAGAAGGAGCGAGCGTCCATGACCTACAATATATAAAGTATGGCTCATTAAAACTAAGTGGTAGGCCAGAAATATGTTTTTTTTTTTGTTTTAGATTAGCCAAACTGCGACTTGCAAATCACTGAATGCCGAGTGTCGCAAATTCGCGACAAAGCGAACAGAACATCTTATTTTCTGAAAGATCTCAGTATTAAAAGGGTGTGTGCTTTGTACAGTTAGTTGAGACCACATTTAAGCTAGAAACAATTTTAAAACGACAACTTACCTCTCGATTACGCTAGAAGGACAGCTGGGAATTCGAGAACCACGTGCTCTGAAATCTTGTCCACCGGCAAAAGTTGTTTACGGCGCAAAGTACACCGGGCGGCCGAGAGATGGCGCAAGCATACCGTGGCGCTTCGGTAGGTACGTCGCGATTTCGCGACAGTCGGCGCGGGGCTCATAGATGACGGAAAGATTTTATACAGTGGACTAAGTGGTATGTCGCGAATTCGCGACATACGTCCTTAAAGGGTTTTGCGCATTCGAATATGGGTATTCTCTTCGGCTTGACGACGAAAATTAGTATTCGGTCTGTGAGCATTTGGTCTTGATTTTGTCGCTGCAAGGAGGTTTGCACATGGTCATGTTTTCATAATCCAAGCATCTGCATCCTGGTCCACAAGGATCCTCGACTGTTTGAGGGTCGCATGTCTGAAACAAGAATCGCATAATTGCTACATTTATCTTTCCTACGCCAAGAGCTGTGACCCGCGAAAGTGTGCTCTTGAATTAGACTACGGAGGCAAAGCAGCACGAGAACATTTGATCTTTATTCTTTACTTTAAAATAACATTTTTTTTTAATTTTATGTTTTTGAATAATCAACGGCTATGAGCAGACTGAGATACGTTTTATTATTCCTTACTGTTTACCCCAACTTTGAGTTCTTTCTCATCACCATGCGGACCGCGCAGCAAGCTCTACCAAAATCGGCTTTCGCAATAAACTGTGTACTTATCTCAAATACTCGAGACAACGCTCTGGATCCCAAAATCTTCGAGGGATTTCATTCTCTCGAAGATTCTCTCATGCACACGCCTCGAAGAAAAGAAGTTCCTTAGGTCGTTGGAAGCATGCTAAAGCTCATAGAGAGTTTGAGTAGATCTTACGCTGAGGAAAGCGGGTCCAGCTGGCGCGTACCCAGTCCACGCTTTAAAGTGACGGCTCGAGCTCCCGCTAACAAAGCGAAGCTTTATCGTTGGGTAGCGCCTGCGCCAACAACCTCCAAATATATATATATTTTTTGTCTTGCGATTGAATATTGTGTCAGAAGGCTACCCAATCAATATTTTGCTACGGAGTTGCGTATAATATTCATAAAGCCAAAAAATGCCAACTGCTCGAAACCGAGACCGAAACATGAGCATGGAACGCCATGGCCGCAACATGTGCACGATGTGTAACGAGAAAGAGGGAGAAATTTAAAGAGAAGAGTGGTTCTCGAAGTCACGCAATTACACCAAACCCCGTTTTTTTGTTTTTTTTCCCCTTTTTTGGCGTGCGAAGTAGTTGATGGGCGACGACGAAGTTTTGCGTGCACCGTTTCTCGAGCGATTGTTTCGCTCTTCTCCCCTTCCGCTCGGCGTTCTGCGCTTGAAAAGATCGATTGGCCGGTACCACGAACGTTGGCCTGTCGTGCGCTGATATCGCGTCGTCCAGCCCGGGGTGCGTCGCCATATTGAGTATGACGTGGACATACACTTCCTGTGGTCTGAGCAACATTTTTTTTTCGATAAACGTATTTGTAGTTTCTTGGGGGCTATAAAAATGAGGTTCATATTGTTTTCGATTTTCATTATCTATTGTGCGTCTTAGATAACCCCCGATTTTTAATATATTTCGTACGCTTTAGTGTGAACACATTTTACCGTGGAAAAGAAAGAATCAACCGGCCGATTATTGACCGGTTGTTTTCGGGCGGAAAGACACCGAATTTCGAGCGGCAAATTCTGTTCTTGGTAGTCGAGCTCCCAAAGGTCGCGTCTTGTTAAAAAGATCGGCGAGCATAAATACCTCTCAGTGTCCCTCTAAGCTTCCAGGCATTGATAGCACTTCCAGGCAGGCGCCGCCAGTGCCAGGCGGAAGGCGACGCGCGCGTACTGGAACCTTTGCACATGCAGCGCCATTAGTGAAAAAGCTTCAAGGGGAAGCCCAAGTGTTAAGGCACATAACCTTTGTTCCCGAACCAGCTCTTCACAGAATGCCTCACAGAAGTGCATCTGAGCAATTTGTATTCGTGCGAGAGTTTAACTCGAATGAGCTAAGAACTGTTCGCACGTCTACAGCGGAGCGCTCATTTTGAGTTCTATCAATGCTGCTCTGCATGTGCAAACCAGCTTCTAGGTGAATAGCAACGTCTCAAGAAATGCGGAACGAGTCTCAAGAATTTACTGAGCGCGTTTATAGGAACCGTGCGGATCTAATTCAAGCCCCGACCAGGGCGCCCCTAGCGGCAAACGGGTCCGTTGCATCGGGCATCTTCTGCCAGTCGCTGCGTTGGTTGTGCGTTGTCGTGGGTTAGCGCTGTAATTTCTGAGAAGGCTATTCCGCACCAAGAAAGCCGCAACAATTGCTGCGTGGTCGGCAAGATGGCGCACGGCACGAAGTACTACATCGTCCCTTCAAAGCCGTACGAGGCGGAGTACTGCGCGACCTGGCTACGACTTCTGCGTCTATACAGGTTAGTGGTGTTTCTTACCTTCCAGTTCGCGCTTTGTTTAAGCTGCTGACGAATAATACAATTAACTTTTTTTCTCTTCTAGCGACGATGGAACAGCATCGACACCGACGGCAAGCTCTAAAGTATGCAGCAAATACTTCACCGGAATCGAGAAGCCGAATGCGGTCGCCCTCCTAAGCCTACCGTTGGATGTTTCCATCAGCCTACAGGAAGATAGTAAAGAGAATCGCGGAACGGCGCGAAAAAAAATCGCCCAGTTATTGTCAAGCTGATTCAGAAATAAACGTACATAATTACCGCGGTCCACTCAACGCCAACAATTTTTTTTTGCGGGCGCGCTTAATTTTGTTTGCAGAGTACGGCGCTCCGTGACATCCACTTGTCCTTCGAAGCGGACCTCATTCACGTCCCACACGCGGCCAGATTCATGAAACAGTTTATCTTCGTCATATTGGCACCACGGAAGAAGCTTTCTGGATTCGTAACCGCCTTAAAGCCCGTCGTAATCACCCCGGGAACACTGTCCGCTGTGCTGCTAATCGCCACTGCTTCCCCCCGATGATTCTGCGCCGGCTACCGAAGAAGCTTTCCGGTTTCTTAGTCGCTCACTGTCCTCTGTGCTGTTCGTTGCTATTACTTGGCGATGATACTGAGCCGGCGGCACCGGCTTCCGAAGGAACTTTCCGAACTCGTAACTGCCTTAAATTCCTTCGTAATCACGACGGGGACACTGTCCGCCGTGCTGTTCGTCGCCATTGCTGCCCGATGCTCCTGCGGCGGCTACCGCCAGGTCGCGGCGAACAATAGGCGACCGCCGCGACACGACCGGCTTGCTCGCTTCCTATAACACACCGAAATCGAGGGTACGAAAAACATCACAATGGATGGCGACCCAAAGTGCTCCTAAATATTTTTTCTCCATTTTGTCTTCAGTCCTCATTTTGAATCGACGGATTATTCTAACTTACAATTTCTAAAACGATCGCGAAAGTTAGGTAAATTTCTTACGATGTACGGTATACACTGCGGAGATGAAGCCGTGGTGGTGGATGGGGCGTGGATTTCGCTGCCTAAATCGGCAAACCTGCCAGGCAAAAACGAACATGAAAGTGCGTAAGTGTTCAACTTTAATTCGTGAACCGCTAGGTATCGCGAGGTTACGTATCTGGGAGGCTTTCTGAGTTTTATTTTCTTCCATTTAGGTTACAAAAATCTGTCCTTAAATTTCTAGCAACTTGAAGACAAATTATAGGAGCTAGGTATCTGGATGTAACACGACTATAATTACTATCTTTTGCGTACTTAAAAAAAGAAAAGTCCAAGTGAAGTTTTAGAAACTCGTAACAAATTAGGCTATCACACGCTGTGTTTAGGGCTTCCTTTATTGAAGAAATCACGAATCCATGAAATGGAATTTGTGCCAAGATTAAATCGGCGTTTTTCTTTTCAATTTAGCGTCGCCCCTCAATCTCGATAATAATTAAACGTGACGGACAGAAAAACGGTTCTACTTACGAAGTACAGAAAACGGCGCCAAACACCAGCGTAGTTTGGAGGATCAACATTTCTCTCAATAGGAATATTTAACCTCAAAGAGGAAAAAACTTCAAAATCCGTCGGCACAAAGACACGACATACGAATGCTAGCACTTTAAATATCACAAACAATGCTAGGCACCTCGTTCTCGCCTGACGTCACCAAAGTTGTTTATCGCAAGTTTTCTTTGTTGGTATTGTAATATTTCACGTACGATTCCAACAACATGTCAGCGTCGCTAGAGTCAAGGATAGTTGAAGGGAACAGGGTAAGTCCTATACTCTCCATGCATTTGAGGCCATGTTGAGGAACATTTTTCTCAGTGAATATTAGGAGTATTCCTGTCATATATATATATATATATCATTTTGTTCAAAATTTTGTGTTTTATCTACTAAACTAGGATTATTGAAACCAATTGAGAATAAACTGTTTACATTTTTTTATTCTAATAGTGAATTTTTAGTTTTTTGTATATTAAAAAATCTGTAACTCAAAAACGGTTAGGTGCATATTTTTAATTCTAGTTCAGTACATTTCAACTCCCATGTAGGTGTTAGGAATAAAAAATCAACCATTTATAATGGCTGGTTAAGGAAATAATGGTACCTATTACTAAAAAGCACTGTTTTAAAATAATTGAGTCCAAAGTAAAAAAAAAACTGAATAACAAATGTTTATAGGCGCCAACAGCCTTGGAGTCATTTCTTCGGTAGCTGCCAGTTTGGAAGTCATTGCTAAAGTCATGACTTCAGTTTTAG